AGTAAAAAGAATATTAAATATTTTAGCTGTGTGTAGAAAAACAAATCTGACCTGTGATAGATATATATTACTCAAAAATTCGGCTATATAAGGACTCGGGAGCTTTAATTACTGATGATTTTTATTTTTAAGCAAGCAATGCTTATTCAGAGATCGCCATACACTTTCATTGTGGTTTCTGTCATTGTAATGTTCCTCATAACAGGCCAGTCAAGTAAAATAATATTAATGCTTATAATTATCAGGAATTGTTTTTTTTTAAATACTTATAATTATCAAAAATAAATACTTATACTTATGTTATATCAGTAGATTATCATCATGATAGGAGTTACAAGAAGTTTTTTAATTTTAAACCATAAAAAAGAATTCTTATTTAAAAGAAAAAGTTCGATAATTTAATCTTATACAATTTTTTTAGAATACGTAGATTGTAATTTTATGTTAGTTTTGTGGATTCTCAAAAAACATGTTATAGGCGCAATATAATGTTGATAATTCATTCAGCACCACATAATTATATCATTAACCCACTTTTGGATTCTCCAAATTTTCTTTACTAATTGAACAAAATGATACTTATTGACGAGTAAAACGAGATTATTGCTCAGTTTATATTTCTAAAGTTTGAAACATATTGTAGGAAAGAAGGTGTGGGAGATGCCGTTTGAGGAGAGGAATTTAGCTACGATCATAAATTCACCCTCATTGTCAGAATACAGGGTGGTGATTTTCCTATTGAAGCGATTCTCCACTAGCTGTTTGGAGGGGATGAAGACAGCAAGGACATCAGATTTCTTCTTCAGGGGACAAAACCAGGTATACTTTGTATAGTGGTCCACAAAGATAACATAGTATTTGTAGTTGTCAATAGAATGAACAGGCGAGATCTAGACATCAATATAGAGTAAATCAAGAGAGCTATTGGGTTATAAAGTAGAGGAAGACATGAATGGTAATTTGTAGCTTTTATTAGTTGAAAAAGCATTGCAATTTAGTGAAGTATAAGAAGTAGAGATAGACAAAGAAAAACGAGAAACAAGTTTCTTAAGAATAGCGATAGCTGGGTGTCCAAACGGGAGTGCTTGTCTGACAGAGATGACTTGACACAAGAATATGTAAAAAGCAAAATGGAGACAGAGGAATTGGAAAACGCAGACCACTCATAAAGTCCACCATTAGTTCTTCCTTGCACCCTCGTTGCTTCCGACATTAGATCCTTCACTTAAAAGGTATAAGGACACAATTGAACCATTATTAGTTTTGCATAATTTGTTCACATAAATGATATTTTTCTTGATTGTAGGAACACAAAGAACATTGGATAAGTGAAGTGAGCGAGAGAAGAAGGGAATTGAAGTGGAACCAGTGTGAGTTATCTTCAACCATGAGCCGTCGCCGATGAGCACATCATCTCCACCATTATATGGAGAAGAGAAAGAGAGATTTCTCAGATTGGAGCTGATGTTGTAACACATATTAACACTGTCAAGGAGCCAAGGTGCCTGATCAGATAGTGTTGACGTGGTGTAGTGGGCCTGCGGTTGCCACTGCTGTGGTGGTTGCCAATGCGGAGGAGCAACAGGTGGTTGTGAGTGAGGCCACATAGGAGAGGCGGAACTGTATGGAGCAGAAGATTGTTGAGCCTGATATGTACCAAGATGGGAGCAGCAGTGAGCGCTATGGCCTTGAGTACTACAGCTTTGGCATTTGCGAAGATAGGGCCAAGGAGCACGGTAGCCACCACGTCCACCTTGATTGGGTATCCTTGTATGCCATATGGTTGCTGTTGATGTTTTTGATTACGAAACTGAGCAGCATTAGCAGAAGCAGGGATATCAACATTGGAGTAAGGAAGGGAAGCGAGTAAGTTTTCGCGATTGAGAAGCTTGTTGTGAAGTTCATCAATCAAGATCGGGATGTCATGGCCACTGACCATTTCAACAATGCCATGATAGTCATCTACAATTCCTTCAATGATGATGTCAAGTAGATCTTCATGACCAACTGGCATCCCAAGGAGAGCCAATTGGTCTGCTTTGGTGAGAATATCGCGCATATAATCGGTGATGGATTGAGTGTCCTTATTGTTTCGTTTGAGTTGTTGCTTGATTTGTTTTATATGGCCACGAGATGGTGAATCATATGTTCGTTCGAGGAATTTTCAGACATCATGAGAAGTGGCAGCTTTAGCGACAATAGGTTGAATCGGAAGAGAAAGCGAGCCAATGAGAGCACTGTAGAGTATGCGACCTTGACGCTTCCAAGGAGCATGAGCTGGGTTGGACTGAAGAAGACCATTGTTGGTTAGTGTTGCTGGCGGCATGCCATCAACATCATCAATGAAAGAGTGAAGTTCATGAGCTTCAAGAAGAGCACGAACTTAAAAACGCCAAGTGAGATAGTTGGAGGCCGAGATTTTGGTAATGACGGCCATGTTATCCCAATGAGTAGTGTTTGCGGATCGCGTTGTTGTAAACAGGAACAATTGGTGCGGCTGCGGGAGCAGGTAAAGCCATCGTTGAAAGAAAGGAAAAAATAAAACTTGTTTGTGTTTAGATCGTATGCTCTGATACCATGTAGGAAAAAAGACTTTATGTATATTGATTCAGAGGATTCACAAATGTATATATATATACATCGATTTGGAGATTCGATCACATCAGAATCTTATTAGATAGAAATCAAATCTTTCAGTAACTAGAGATAAACACAGTCTTTAGAAGTAGAAATCTTGTTCGCTTAGACCGATGTCTACAGCTTTGGGTCTTTTTGCATACAGTGTCATGTTTGTATCACAACATACCGACTTGTACAGCTTTGGGGTCTGTTTGTTGGTTCTTCTCAGTGGCAGTCCGATTTTCTTCCCCGAATCTAATGGCAAGCGTGAAGATGTTCTTGGCTATACAAAAAATTTGTATGATAATGACAAAGTTGGTAAAATAATTGATCCAGCGGTGGTGAAAGATATCACAAGTGATGGTCAAATTAAGATTGCAAGTGGAAGAGTGTGTTGTACACTTGTACTTGCTCTGCGATGCTGCGAGAAAAGAGATGAAGACAGGCCAAAGATGATCCAAGTCGCTAAATAACTCAAGCTGAGACATAATTCATACAATCATAAATAATATACAAAGTAGTTTGACTTAATTCAGTTTTACAGTTTCACCAAGTTTTTTATATATGCTCTTGAGTTCTTTGACAATGATAAATCGATGAAAGTATGACACAAAATGATTAGGAAAAATTATTATTAGACTCTCATGAAAATAATATTACAAGATGCATATGTTTATATAGAAATAGTAATAAACTAATTGTCTGAATTAATATGTAAATAATATATTTAGGATAAAAGTAAATTTTTCAATCTAAAATATTGGTAAATATCTATAATATTATAGATCCTTCTAGATCTTTCTTGATTTCCATAATCGTCATATAGTCGATTTTATCGATCTCTCAATACACCACATCGATCATCTCAAAGAAAGTTAACAATGGGCTCTGTCTTCAAACCGGGGAAAGGTATTGTATTGTAATTTGAAAAGAAGAAGAGATTGTGGCAGAGGAAATGATGTGATGCTCGAAATAACTCTTGAAGTAAACAACAGTTGGCCATTATCAATTTTTTTTCTTCAGAAAAGAATTCTCCAGAATAAAAAATCTATTTTTGAAGTCCCACATCGGTAAGCTACAGAAAGTTGGTCATAAGTTTGGCACTATAAAAAAAGAAGCGAAGTCTCTCATTCAACTCATACTTTTCTCGGCTTTTTTGGCTAAGATCAAATGTAGTATCTGTTTTTATTAATTTAATATCTGATATGTGAGTCATCGGTCTACACGATATTAAATCTATTTTTTAAGAGAGAGAGTCCACCAAGATAGTTTGCTGGGTTTTCGTGAGTCGCCTATGTGTTGCACTACATCACGGGCCTGACTCAACCCGCTAAAGTCGATAGTTCAACTCTTTGACGTTCCTTTGCCTTGTCTTGGTTCCAAACTCGTTTTGTTATCAACGAATCAAATCGATCTTTTAGACTCTGCAACGTGAATTTTATAAAGCAAAAGAAGACAAAAGCTAATCTCTGTGAAAACTAACCATGGAAACTCCATAAATCCACTCTCAACAGCTGGAAATAAAGAGAGTGTGTAGTTCAGATCACTGGTTTTGCAATGGAGAAAAGTAGATTGGGCTCTCTCGCAAATCTTATGAGATGTCTCCCAAAACCAAACCATCTCTAATGTCTACACAACGAGAGTGGGATTAAGAAATGTTCAATAGTAGTTGATGAGTTTTATCGCAATTAATGGAGCTAATGAACACGAAAGCTGAAACGGAGGTATGTGTTCACACTTTGGTTTGCCAAGACAATTACATTAGCCGAAAATGGAATCAAGATGAAACAAATGTGAAATATCTGGATTCTTGATAGAGAAAGACAAAGACAAGTAAGCACAAAAACTCTTGACACATCACTATATTCTCAAAGGTTAATAATTAATCTTCAAAAATAAATATACTAATTGAGCTCTTTAGCAGCAACTTCAATCATACTGCTCACTGGATCTTTTTTCTTGTATCTTACACATCTCAACGCTAATCCAAGACAGTACGAAAAAATTTGGAAAATTCACTTGTAAAAATATGCTATATAATCAACCAACTTTACACATTTCACTATATTTTTGACCGAAAAAGGGTCAACGTAGAACTTTAGAATAAAGAAATTCAAACGAGAGAGAAAAAAAACACAAAATATATGATTCATTTTCTTTTTGTACATACTGAGAACCTCTCTCCTCTCTAAGCAAAATGTTCCAAGAAAATTTGATCTACACACCCAAAAGGCTTTTCGAGTATGGTCAATAATAACTTTTAGAACAAACTCACGAGCATGCCCATGTATGATTGATACTTTGCTTGGCATTTTCCTCTCTTCTTTTTGTCCTTTTTCATAAACAATAATTAAATGTTCAAATAATGATGATAAGAACTAAGTCTTGACGCTTACGCTTGGCGACTTCTGGTCTTGAGCTCTAGTCGCACGGTGTCTTTGATTTTTCTTAGAACCCGAAGAAGAAGAAGAAGAAGACGGTTGATTACCAGTTGATTTTGCTCGAATGTGTGAATGATGATTATCAGGCGTTGAAGAAGACGAAGGAGAAGAAAGTAAAGGACCTGATCTTGATCTGTTTCTCAGTTTCTTCTTCTCTCCTTCTGAACCTATCCTTCTTACTTTTGCCTCGTTCAAGCGCGGTGGTAACACGCAGTTACAGAGAACTCCTACACAATTCAAGAAAAACAAAACCGTTACTTGATGATCTTTCTTGCAACCAAAAACAAATACAATGCACACTTGATTTTGGTTTACCTAAGCGAGCAAGCCGGTTTACCCATCTAGGGATTTGTTTCTGAGTAAGTTTAATACAAACTTCATTGCAAAAATGGTTACAGTTCCTTGTGATGAGATTGTACTTGTTCCCTCGATACTCTTCAGCTAGCTTCTCCATATAGACACGGACTTCTTTAGCAACCATGTCGGTTTTGCCCACGAGAATCGATTTCCTAAATGTGAAACCGGGACATTTCTTTGGCTCTACTTCAAAGATACCTGTGCTTGAAGATTCATGTGCTCCAAATGCAAATTCAACTCCATTAACTACAAACATTGAACTAATCAACAATGAGTCCATTACAAACTAGGTTACTCTATTGATCATTGAAGCAATCTAACATCCAAAATCAGTTTCTTGATAACTAATTGACAAATTACACAAATCTTAAATAAAAAAATTTGAACTTTTGTTCTGCAGAAATTGATAATAACTAACTATCCAAATATTTCAGCATCACAAATCACAATGCTCACAAGAAACATTGGTAAAAGCTCAATAAAAACGTTCTCAATTTTCAAGATTTGAAGAACCCATGAAGAATCAAACAAGTTCTAAGAACCAAATCCAAGATTCAATATTTTAACCATGGTCAATTCGATTGCTCTCTAAATTATAGCTTTTAACAAATCTAGTCTCAAGCCACTATCTTAGCAAACAAACAAGTAGATTCGAACAGAAAAAGCCAAACCCCGAAAATCAAAATTCAGAAAAGAATACAATTATCGAAATCAACTCACCTTCAACGCCAGAGTGAAAGACTCCAAGTCCAAGCCAGTAACCATAAGCGTTCATAGGAGTTAGATCGTAGACATTCAGATAAACCGGAATCGAACCAGATTTCTCCTTGCCCTTAGCCGAACCGCTCCAGCACAACATCTCTTCGGCTCAATACATCACAACAAAGAACACCGATAGGGAACCAGAGATTTCGGAGAGGGGTACGAAGTGAAAATTGAAGGGCTTTAGAAGGGTAGATCAGGGATTTAAAAGATGAGAATTCTATAGGTTTCTTCGTCGTTTCATCTCCAACTACTTGTGAAGTTTCTGGGAAAGTGCTGCGTATTGCCTTAAAGCAAAAGAGCGTATGTTCTGTTTTTTTCCTTGTCTTGTCGATAGATTGTTCTTCCGACTTTTAACCATCCGTTTCTGTTAATTCACTGAATTTGGTTATTTGTTCAAATGCGGTAAGATATTTTTATTTATTCTCAGTGGTCCACTAGTCCATTTGCATTAATTTCGGGTCGTTTTGGTAAATGGTAATAAATTTGAAATTGCAAAAAATTTGGTATTTTTATAGAAACTTTTGTTTTAATATATATTTCACTATTAAAATCATCTATCAGAAAAAATTGATTACTTGTTTCCATGGAATTTTATTTTGAATTACTCAAGAATATGAGCATTATACAATATTAATTATAAAATATTTTTTGTAATGAAAATGGTTTAAAAGCATTTCTAATTATATTGTATCCTTTTAATTCCAAAAGATTTGGTATTTTAATAGAAACTTTTATTTTTAGAATAATTTTATTTCACTATGGAAAACATTTCCAAAAATATTGTTTACTTGTTAACATGTAATTTTTATTTAAAATTACTTAGAGTATTTGTATTATATAATAATAGATATGATACTAATTAAAAGTAAATTTACCATATCACAATAGTTTAAATGCATCTTCAATTATATTCTATTTTTTCATTTTCAAAAATTTTAGTAATTTTATAGAAATTTTTATTTTTAGTATAATTTTATTTATTTTATTATTAAAATATACAAGACACTAACAGAATAGTATCTAATATTATATAATGCAAATATTTTAAGTATTTAAAAAAAAAAACTATATCGCAAAAAAATTGTAAAATATTTTATTCATTTTCAGCGGTTGATTAATTCATTTATATCAAATTTCAAGATATATTTATAAATGGTAATATATTAGAAATTGCAAAATAGTGGTATTTTTATAGAAACTTTTGTTTTTAATATATTTTATTTCAAGACATCTATTAGAATATTTTTTTTACTTGTTTTCATAGAATTCTATTTAAAACTAGTATAAACATTATATAATTGCATTAGTAAACATTATATAATAAGATATATATAATATTAAATAAAAAAAATTTAAATAAGAATCGTTTAAAAGCATTTTCAAATACTCTATTTTTTCATGGGTGTTATGATGTACAACAGAGGAGAGAATGAAGGTTTATCTCGATTGGTGTTCCTTCTGGTGGACATCGAGCGTACCCCTTTAATGTTGCTGTCTGAACAAAACCATAGCGAGGTCTGGTGAGGTGGTGCTCGGAAGTCTCTCCTCCCCCTTTCTCTCTCTCTTTTTCTCTCTAGATTTAGTCTCGCTCTTTTGGTTCCAGATCCCCTTTTCTTTTGGCTGTAAGCCTCCTTCTATACTCCCTTCTCCTTGACAAGTCCCAATCACGCGGCGCACGGCGGAAGCAGATGGGCTAGTACAGCACGCCTGGCTCGGTAAGCCTGCTACCAGCGCGGGAACAGTTCGCTAGGTAGTCATTGACAGACCTAGGTGAAGAAGTCAGCGCTTGGGTGGGGCCTAGTAGCCACGTGCCGCTTCAAGGTTGGTTGTGGTAAATGTGGGCATAACAATTGCCTCGACTTCTCGACTAATTGGAAATGAGTCGGGGAGTTGACTATTTCGTCGTTCATGCAAGATAATCAAAACTCATTTGGTATCCGGAGATTTTGGCTGATTCGGAGCTGCGTTAGAACGATTCGTCCCGCTCCTGCCGTGCATCCTGTAAGAGTATGGGTCTAGCCGGGATGGAAAAGGAGTTTCCAGAGAAACACTTAAATAAGCTCACCCCGACCTTGCCGTGCATCCCGGAAGAGTACGGATCTAGCCGGAGCGAAGCTGAGTTTTTGAAGAAACTGTTGAATGGGCTCACCCTGACTTTGCTGCACATCCCGAAGGAGTACGGGATTAGCTGGAGTGAAGCTGTGTTTTTGGAGTAATGGTTAAATTTCCAGAGAATTGGTTAGGTTCTCAGAAGAACTGTTAGATTGGATCCTACCCCGGCTTGGGCATGCATCCTGGGAGTGTACATTTTTGCCCAGAATAGGAGGATGTTAGGTTCTAGGAAGAACTGTTGGTCGCCCACAAATAAGCATCTCTCCGAAGGAAATTTACTCTTTGCTTCGTGAGGCACTAGACAAGGAGCTGTCTTCCTTCTACATTGGGGCTATGTGACCATGGAGATCAATATAAGGCAACAACGCATTTTTTAGACACCTACTTAAGAACCACAGATGACGCCTTGAGGGGGTGAAAATATAGTCCCAGTGTGCATGTTGGTAACATGAAGAGGAGCTGCTTCTTTTTTGCAGCTTATGCCAGCTAGTTTGTGGTGAAACATGACGTTTTCCGGAGGCGTTACCCCGACTTCCTCACTGCCGGAACAGTTTTTGCATTGTGCTTATGCGGAATGTTTTGTGGTTTTAGAATCGTGTTAGGGAGGGCTTTGTTTTGAGAAGAGAAAGCCACCCGGGAGGAGCAACTTCAATTTCCCGATGGTGCCCCGGAAGGCAAGCGCGTCCTCAGAAGGAGCACATTGCTGGTTCGCACAGTCCCTAGAGGGAGATGGCGGGGAAGACCCGGAGGTCTGTGGGAGCGGAGTCCCAATTCTCAGAGGAAAATACCCCAGAATGCTGATGCGTCCCCGGAAGGAGCACACATAGAGTTGTGCGGTCTCCATAAGGAGCTGGCAAAAGGCCCCAGAAGTTTACGGGACCAGAGTCCAGAATTCCCAGAGGAATTGTGGCCCAGAAGGCAAGCAAGTCCATAGGGGGAGCATGCTGAAAAATTGCACGGTCCAGGGAAAGAGCTGGCGAAGAGGACTCAGAGGTCTGCGGGACCGGAGTTCAGAATTCCCGGAGGAATAGTGCCCCAGAAGGCAAGCAAGTCCTTGGGAGAGTATGCTGAAAGAAATTTGGATTTGAGGTTTTTATGGAAATTTGAAACTCAAGCATGGTGCCTTTGGAGGGTATGATAAGTGCAAACGATGATATACTAACGAAAACCGACTAACAGGCAGGGAAAAGTAATGCAAAGGGTCGCGGGGGCCAGGAAGATCAAGTGATAGAGTAAACAAGTAGGGGTTCAAGCAGGCAATGAATTGCACAGTTAGGAAATCGAGTAAGCACACAAGCAAAAAATCACAAAAACAGGAAATCAAGCAATCACACAAACAGAAAATCACTCAAACATGCAATCACTCAAACAGGAAACCACTTAAACAAGAAATTAAGCAATCCCGCAAACAGGGAGTCACTCAAACAGGAAATCAAGCAATCACTCAAACAGAAAATCACTTAAACAGGAAACCATCCAGGCAGAGAGCTATGCAACCACACAGAAAAGGAACGAAATAGATGCATGCGCCTAACGGAAGTGATAAAGAGGGTTTGCTCGTACGAACAAACGATAGCAAGCGGGCCCACGCCAGTTGCTCCTTGAGGAATAGAACCATCCCGGAGAGGTACTTATTTCATGTAAGGTCTAAGAATTCACACTGTTGTAGTGATTGACTTGTTCTCCTGCGAAGTCTGAACATTTCTGTGTCTCTTTTCCGGGTCGAGAATTACAGATCTCATAGTCAAGGCTTTTTCTTTTCCTCGGTGGTGCGATCCACATGGCAGATTCTTGTTCGCCTGCTGCGTGAAGTTATACCACATGATTTGCCTTGGTTCTCATGAACTGGCGCTTGCTATCGTCATCACAAGGTACCATCTGCCTCCTTTATCATAATGACATATTTCTTCAGATGCACGGCTCGAGAATCGAGTATTTACTGAAATAATCCTCGATTTCCCATTATTTCCAGACTCCCATGATCATTTTCGCGCGTTGTTTTGGTTTCTTGTCCTTCTATAAAGTAGCCGAGAACAGTCGGCATTCACTACTTTCTCCATTTTCCAATTTCATCTGGACTTCTATTTTTGCTTTTCCTCGAACCTTCAACCGAACTATGCTTTCCTTCCTGACTCGATACGATGTCGTCTTCATCAACGAGTTCGTCTGTCGACACCTTGCGTGCCCCTTCTTGTGGTTTGGGTGTAGCGTTGAAAATTTTGCTTGTACTCCCGAGCCAGTCGAGAGGCAGGGCCTGCCTCCTTCGGTATGTACGTCGGAGACCCTGGAGAGGGTCACCTCAGCAGTTGATCCTCCTTACGCGCCTCTTAATTCCCTATTTCCCCCCAAGGGGGACCGAGCAGATCATGCTACGCTCCACTATATCGCCATTCACGATGAGTATATCCTCAATATCAAGAAATCTAAGCTCCTTTTCAGTAATATTTCCTGTCTTTTTCCTTGCATAGAAAGTGTGAGTAAGTGCCTTGTGCACATACCTAAGAGCAGGATTTCTTATGTGAGTGTTCTTGTTTGTTATCGATCTATACCACTTGACTCCAATGGTATCCCATACTCCTTTTAGTTCAGAATCTCTGATGTTTAGAGCTTTTCCTCTGCCTGTTCCTTTCCCAAATCTATACACTTTCTCTAACTGTTTGAAAAACAACTTATGAGTTGTGCACCCATTCCTAAACTTGATAAATCCATCACCATCTTTTGATGGTGCTTCATCTCCTTAAACATATAATTTCACTCTTAAGGAGGCAAAAAATTGGCATGTGGAGATTTGATGTGAAGGATGTGCCATACTCATGAACTTACTCAACTCCATCTTCTAGAAGAGCAATTCAACATCTTCATAAATCCCAAGCTCTCTCATTGTCTGTTTATGGGAGTATTTTGTTGCTTTGAATTCAGCTTTTATCAAGGCTTGGTATATTTCAGCTGATATGGGAGTCTTCTCTTTCTTTGCAACTTCAACC